AACAACAACAACAACAGCAGCAACAACTCTGTGGTGTTGCCCTGTCTGTGTTCTGACCAACATTTAAACCTCCTGCTCAGTTTGTGACACTTCTGTTATTCTGGGTGCCTCTGCTTACGTGTCAGGTTTGAGCATAGAGTTGGAGACTGGACCTGGCCCAGTGGAGACGGACGCAGACAGCCACAGGCCTCTGATGAGCGACGACGAGGAAGAGGTGGAAGTGTTTGACAAACACTGCCAGACCATCCAGCAGGTAGATGAACCGGTGTTTGAATCCCCTCAACCCATCAGCTTCATCCAGGCCTTCTGTCTGCCTGGAGTTCTGCCGGTGAGTCTGAGGCTCCAACACAAAGCCAAAAACAAAATCACAAACTGCAGCCATTTTACCACCAGGGGGGGCCAGGTACCACATCTTTTAACCGTGTCCTCTCTTGTTTCTGTGTGTACTGCAGTATTCTTTGGCGTTCGCATGTCTGAAGCTGGTCAACTACTCCTTCTTCTTCTGGCTTCCTTTCTACCTGAGCAGCAACTACGGCTGGAAGGAGGCGGAGGCCGACCGTCTGTCTGTGTGGTTCGATGTGGGAGGAATCGCCGGTTTGTGGAATCTTTACTTCATAACACAATACAATTTAACACTACAGTCAGTTGCTTGGTTCTGGGAGAAATTGGGAGTCCCAATTTATTTCATTTTTATAGAACTGTATCTGTGAGAACACATGAAACATTCTGATGTTGGAGGTCAGAGTGTTGATATTCTTCAAAAAAAAATTAAGAGAAAGGTCAGCCTCATTGCATAACAGGTTTGAATTTGAACTCTAATTATAAAATAATTTTGTTAAGGATAAACAACATTAAAGTTCAAATTTTTGAGGCAGAAAAAAATGCATTTCTTCTTTTATTTTCTAAATGAATTCAGATTCTGAACTTTAATCCCACGGACAACAGCTCTGTAAAATACATTTCTATGCGGCCCTGAATAAAAATCCAATTCATTCTAATTTTTAAATACTTAATTTCTTTTTTTATTTCATGTGACTTCACTCTGATGCCGTGTTTGTATTAGCATGACTTGTGCTCACGTGTTCTCTGACTGGCTGTTCCTGTGTGTCAGGTGGAACTGTTCTGGGTCTGATCTCTGACCTCGTAGGAAAAAGAGCTCCGGTGCTGACGGTCAGTCTGGCCTTGGCCATGGGGGCTTTGGTGGGCTACAGCCGTAAGTTCTGGCCAGGTTTATACATGGCATGTGCAAATGTATTTTTTAAAAAATGAGACAAAAATATCTTGACTTCTTGGTCATGTCCGTCTCCCGTCTAAGGGTCTCCTAATGACAAGCTGATCAACAGCGTGCTCCTGGCACTGACGGGTTTCTTCGTGGGCGGTCCGTCCAACATCATCTGCTCTGCTATATCTGCTGACCTGGGCAGACAGGAGGCGCTGAGGGGCAGCCAGGAGGCTCTGGCTACAGTCACTGGAATAGTAGACGGAACTGGGAGCATGGGAGCCGCAGTTGGACAGGTAATGGAGTACTGGGAAGTACTTTACCATATATTTTGTTACAGCTCATCGGATGATTGGATCATGTTGACAGTGAGTCACAGTAACGTGACTAATGTTTGGTTCCGTGTCTCCACCACCTTCTAGTACCTGGTTTCCCTCATTGAGAGTAAGCTGGGCTGGATGACTGTGTTCTACTTCTTTGTCGTCATGGTAAGTGGACTTTACGTTTCTTAGACTGAATTAGTGACAGTTATGACGGGG